TTTATGCTTTTTTTCTGTTTTTTGCCAATTGCTTCAAAAGACAGTGCTCCTTGCTTCACGTAAGACAATTTTTTTGTAAGACAAATCTGTCATGTAATTTTTTTTGTGTAGGAAAGATTGTACTCTCATAGCAACTTTTATTGTAGAGTAAGCATAAAACAGTCATTTTGCATCTGCTATCCATAACGCTATTGATGTACTGCTTTTAGGAGTATCATGAGAGGTTGTGACAACATGTGCAGTTTTTGCATTGTCCCATTCACACGAGGTCGAGAACGAAGTCGCCCTGTGAACTCTATACTTGATGAGGTCAAAAAACTAATAGACCAGGTAAATGTCTAAAGGGCCAGATTTTGGGACGCTTCAGTTTATTATAATTAATAACCAATGAATGATTTTTTGTCTAAGACGGAAATATATTCTCTTTTGGTTAATTAGCCAGTATTTAAATTCTTAAAATCATACCGACACCTCGTCGAGGATGACTTGAAGCTGATGGATCTTAAAAATTCCATAAGTAGCAGGACAGAAAATAAGAAAAATTTTTATGTGTAGCAATTCACCTTTCGACCATAGTCCCATTCCGTCAAGAGCAGTGAATGTTTTTTTGCCTTGATTATCGATGCTAGTTGCGTCAAAGCGTTGGAATAGATGTAAACAAAAATGTTGTCTTGTTTGTCCTGAAGATCTATCAGTTTCATCAGTTTGTATCTATAGGAATGTTTAATTCTGAGTTCTCTGCAAATTTAGTTTCGTCGTATACAAGCATCTTCATGAGCGTGAAACAGTCAGTGTGAAATAGCGTGCTATATTGAATTACTGTAACAAAAGCCTCTTAAGCAATTTTCGACTCTGTCTGGTTGATAATTTTATTCCTCTGTTATAATCCATGGTTCAAAGCACAGATTGATACTAAAAGATATTGAATTATATCTAGGTTGTCATCAGTGAGCCTGCTTAAAAGAATTAATAGAACAAAGATTCTGTCATTAAAGTGTTACATGACTGTTTTCATAACGCACTGTTTCAGTTATGTATTATTGCCTCAATGGGGAGACTTGTACGGCATCGAAACATGTCGGTAAATAAAGGATTTTACATCATCCTTGTTAATTGTTGCCTTGAGCCATGGGTTTGGAAGCGAATTCATTTGCTGTTATTAAAACATTCAAGAAATCGATACCTTCTTCCATACCTCATTATTATTATACTTTTTATTCCTCTTTCCATGAGATTTGTTAATGATTTTACCTGATAATGTTGCAGTTTCTACCGCAACAAAACGTGTCGGTAATAAATATTTGAACATGTTTTTTGCTTCCATGGACCAGTAAGGTAGAAGTAAAACGTTTGAATTACTTAGAAGTTGGTTCTAACTAAAAAAGAAATTGCTTTTGAAAGAATGCTAATCATTCTAGTTTTAGCTGTTCATTTTTCGATTAAGGCGATTGAAGTTATTCCATTAACCGGGAAGCATTCGACATAGTTGTTTCAACTGATGACATCCTTTTCCTTTGACGTAAATGTATCTAGTAGAAGAATACTCGGATTAAAATCCAAAAGAGAACGACTTTTCCGTTAATGTAGCAGACGAAATGACCTTGCGCCGTTTCTTGCAACTTGTACGATTCTTTTACAATTGATTAGGTTAAGCTGAGAACACTTTACGACATCATCCGTCCAGTATTATATTCATTTTCCTCTCGGTCTCAATTCCGGAGGTTAGCATTTTATTTCCATTTCTTCCGGACCCGTCATTTATCATATCGTCAATAACTCTTCACTTTGCATGTTTTTGGAATGGTGCGCTGAATAACTAATTGCTTTGAGAGACAGCTGCTGCTTTCTGAATTCATCCCTTATATTCGTAACAGCCTACTGTTGCGTCATATCTTGAAGGCATAAATGAACTAGCATAGCGTGCAAACCATGATCATAGTTAGCAGTCCTAAAATACTCCATTGACAGTGAACAAAGAGATCAAAGGGCCTGTCATTTACATGGCAGGTTGTCGAATGTTGGACAGTTTTCTAAAAATATCGGCGTAGTGTCCAAAGTTTCCGTGTACCGGATAAATATTCTTGGGCATAATTTACAATATACAGGTAACAACCTGTCATTTTTTTTCATAATCAGCGATATTCATTATATGATCCACTTATTCTCATGGTTAAGTCAATCAATTAAAGTTTAAACTGTGCCGAAAATAATAGTAAGGAATTCCCTGACGTTTTTGATAGCTACCAACAATGGCAGCTTTACGATTCCGCCATTGAATATATTAGCCTTTTAACATCAAAAGCTGTGAAGCGACCTACATGACAACGATATTGCGGTACTGTAAGACGGATAGTAGCCACTACACCCGGTTGTACCGCAATAATGCGTTGTCCCCTTACTTCCAGTCGACTAGGGCGATCATTTAAACGGGCCACGGCTCCATCATATTTAATCTCTTGCATTGCATAGAATTCAAGACAGCGTCACTGAGTTGGGCTAAACAAGAGCTTGTTCAAGTACACAAAATCTGCCATTATTCATTCGTTGGCAAAATGTGCAGAAAATAACCGTAAAGAAAACCCAATATTCTGAGCAGGTACCAAAAGTGGCAGGTTTTCGATTGCACCAGTAAATATAATCCTTTAAATACTGACAACGGGTTTTAAATTGAAACGTTAAATTCTCATGTCAGGGCATATTGCATCAAAATCTGATTTTATTGCATTTGACGCTATTCACATAGCTCTATAGTGCCAGTTATTAGACAGGTGAAAATATGTTGCACTGAATTTGAAGCATATTTAGTTAATGGAAAAACAGCGTAACTTAACCTTACATTGCTTAGACCATGGTCAGACTACAACATTTCATTTTTAAGAGACTATATTTGATATTGGTTTTTTATTGGTTCAAATAAAACACTCAAAAAACATTGCTCCTAGAAAATAGCAATGCTATTAAAGAGTTGAATGAAAAAATTTTCACGCTGAATTCTGAAGCTGAATTTCCAGAAAACAATCTTACGACCTTAAGTTTTCGAACAACCAGCAATATAGTTTTATTTATAGCATAAGCGTTTAAATCAAGGAGTGGAAATATGCACGTTCATTCACCATAGCTTTCAATGAAACATTAATGGTAATTTTTCCAAGATATACTGATTGTTCACTATTTTTACAGCTGACTTGGACTGCTTTATGCTGAAGTATGTTTCGATGATACTGCTTTTGGTTGAACATTTTCTTTCGTTTATTGGCACTGCTGTTTCCATTTTTATCAGCATATTCCTTATGCAGTAAAAGCTGTTTGTCTGAATTTAATAAATTTCAGGGAGTGAAGGAAATAACGCTGTTGGGTCAGAATGTGAATAGCTACTGCGATACGGCTACTACAAATCTGACGAACGAATCTGTCATGCACCCTTCATCTGTATTGTCACCTGGCTTTTCGGCAAAATATAAGCCGAAAACCAATGGTGTTCGTTTTGCTGAGCTTCTGGACAGAGTTTCGGCCGTTAATCCGGAGATTCGATTCAGATTTACCTCACCGCATCCTAAAGACTTCCCCGATGAGGTAACTGGTTTAATTAAATTTCTGCTTTATGTTTATAGTTTTGACAGTTATTAGACCCGATTGCATTTTAATGCAGCAGTTTTAAATTTTGAAGTATTTCTGAAGCAACTTTTTGGTGGTAACGAAAATTTTTGTGTGCGTAACTTTAAAACATCACGATTAACGACACATCATGACACCTTTCGAGGTGTCTTTGGGTACTCCGAACGGATCAGTCATGAGAACAGTGGTGCAGTTAACTGTAGTTTCGGTTTGCTCTTTAAGTGCAGCATATAGTATCTTATGAGTAGTACTGGCATACTCCTTGGGTCAGGCGATTCTCGTAGGAGAGGAACCCTTTACAGCACAGCGTCAAACAGGTTTTCTAGTTAATAACTGCTTTCAGAAAGGAAGGAATTACCGCCCACCACCTGCCGAAAAAACGAGTTGAGAGTCATATCGCTGATATGATCATATCAGAGTACGCGAAAGTATGGCCGCGCTGGTCGATGCGTGCGCCATACTGCTGCAGTTCGGGTTAAACACGTTTTATTTGACTGAAAGGCAACACTAGGTGTAAGCGGTAGATTTAAAGAAAAAACAAAAACTTTTTTATGGCTAGCTATACCTCTCAATTGCTGGAGCAAGAACTTCCGGTGATCACGGTCTTCCGCCGTCTATGCAAGCTCTTTTGATTGAATTCAGAAATGTTCATTTGATTACAGCCATCTAGCCATAGGTCTTGCCGTAATCGTTGACGCTTTTCCTGATTATTTCTTCGTTATTGCTGTTTATTCTTTTGTTTTCGTGTCAAAGCAAGGCACGAACTGTGACTTTCAATCCAATGAACATGCTGCTAGATTCTAGGAAGGCAGCTAATTCCAGTTTGTAGATTCGCCTAATATGTCCTGTGCTTGTAATCGTCTGCTGATTTTCTCTAACATATTTACAAAATCTTTTTTTAAAATAATTTTCGAGTTTTTAAAAAATATGATGCATTTATCGTTCTCTTCTTTATTGTCACATTGATCGAGATTTTCTTCTTGCAGCTTTTGCAGATCATGAAGGAACGAACTAATATTTGTAAACATATTCATTTACCTGCGCAAAGTGGAAGCGACGCGATGCTCAGCTCTATGAAGCGTGGGCACAATAGAGAGGCTTACCTTAATCTCGTCGAAAGGATTCGCAGCATTATTCCAGGTAAGCCTTAACTAACGTTCAACGCGCATATCATTATAACATTCTAATTCAGATGTGATTTTGAATATTTTTCTTTAGGTAAATTTT